GCAGGAAGCAAGATAACAAGCTTCCTTACAGCTAATGATATTGTCTTATGCGGTACAGAAGCCGGGGTCATCAAGGTACACATTATAAACCATCTATGTATGTCATTTTTTTTTCACAATCTATTTATGTCCTTTTTAATAAATTTTTGAAACAGGGTTGGATTCCGTTATAGCACAAGAACCTACAACCAAGGGTCTAAGGCAGACATTAGATTTTCAAAACACAGCTAAGAAGTTATGATACACGAAGAACCATTATTCAGTTTGCAATGAAGAAGCAAATATACAGCTTAGATGTGTGTTAAAACTAGAGTGAAGTGTGTGTGATTGTGATACTTGTACATATATGACAGTAATGAGATCTAAAAGTTGTTGTGATTCAATAATCATCAGTTTTATGTAACTAAGTGATTTTGCAGCAAGGAAAATTGTCTACCTTTGAAATTTTGAATGGCTTGAACTTGTCTTTGATTCAGCTGAATGAATAATTTTGATGGACATCAAAAGAAAAATCCAGCTGCCAAACCATTTTCTCTTCAAATTTTTTCCAGCAAGTCTTCTCATCACAATTATCTTTATACCGTCACAAATCCAGGCACGTTTTTTGAAGGAGTTTTTGCTGGTAGGTTTGCTCCATTGCACTTTTCTCTATCAGTTCTCTCAAAAATCCCACAGAATCCCAACTATTTATGGTCTACTTGCTGCTCGCCTTCCTGTTTCCACCTCTCCATGAACAAGACAGGCACCAAGGAGGGCTTGGCAGACCAGTCGACTAGGCTGAAAATGAAATGCCATTGGCAAAACTAAATTTTCAGCTTCCTTATCTTTACCAACAAGCATAAAGAACACAGATAAACAATATGCATTTTTGGCTGCACACCCCTATGCTTCATCTCCTCAAAGGTCATAAGGCCCTCTCTAGCTTGGTCACTCTGAGCACATCCCATAATCATCGTGGTCCATGAAATTATGGTGTGGTCTTCCATAGTTCTGCAAACACCCAGACACCTTCCATGCACTGGGGATTATTACATTATCTAGCAAAGTCATTGTCCACACAGTCACTAACCTCATTGTTTCCTGGTTTATCCTTAATCCCTGCCCCCCCCCCCCCTCCCTCTATTGAAGCTAAACTTGCACAGGCATTAGTGGTAGCCAGAGTGAATTCTGTTGAGCCGTACACCCACCTGCTTCATTTCCGAATTAACTTCAAGCGCCTTGCCAGGTTCTCTGGAAGCAATTTGAGTCCATAAGCAAACATCTCTTTCGGGCATCTCGTCAAAAACAAAAGCAGAGATCAGAAAGCAGAGCGTATCAACCATAGCATTTCCGACACAGATTTTGTCCCTATGACCAAGATTAAAAGAAGAGCGTGTACTTGCTGTCCCATTTGTAGATCAGAAAGCGCAACTAATCCTGTGAAGTTATCTGGCTTCACATTACTCTCATCATACATTATTTGGTACAGGGATGCTGCTCGAAAATGTCAATAGCCTCCTCCAACTTGCCGTGCCTGATAAGAGCTGTCAGGAAGACATTCACGAGGTGTATATTGGGCTCGAATCCCAACCAAACCATAGACTTGGTACCCCTGAATCAAATCTTCCAAAAGCCAGCAAATCTGAACTCATTAGGTTTACACGTATCATCATGCAACATGTCGGAAAAAAAACAAGGGTTTCACGGGCGCGTCCGTTTTTCGAACAAAACCACCGACATTGGGAAGACAATTCACCACGTTTCGCTCAGACATTTCGTCGAACAGTTACCTCCCACCAACTACGCATTTCACGGATATGTTGAGCAAATGGTTCCGCACCAAGAGCGAAAAGGGAAGAAACCCTTTGATGAACTTGCCGTAAAGAACTCGTCCCCGCACAAATCGAACGTCTCCGCGAACCGACGCAGAGTTTTGGCGCAATTGTCTTCCTCTGCTGAGCTCCTCGACGTGAACCAACGCCCTTGGGACGCCATTTAAAACGACGGCGTTTTCGTCGATTTCTCTCTCTCTCCCTCTTTCCCTTTTGCCTTTTGGTTTTTTTTTTCCCGTTATTGGCGTCACGAGGTCGAGATTTAAAACCCTCTGGGGTTTATAACAATTACGGGAACCGCCATTGCCGCCATGAACGCAGACAACCTCGGAGAAGAAGAACTTCGAGGTTTCTCCGGAGATAGGCCAATTTATCTCCCCGGAGAACGAATTTCCCGATAGTACCCACTTGCACCGGCTCGAGAACTTCAGAATCGCCATGGATGCTCGCCAGAGATTTCTCCAGGACAAAGTAAGGGCTCGGTGCTGAAATCACCCATTGTCTGGTGGAGGAACCCCGCTAGTGCTCATTCTATGACTGTGAATGGGGCAAATCGGTAGGCTGATGATCTTCCTGTTTGGGAATCTTTACTTCAAATGCTATTGCTCGAAGAAAAAGTACGTAAAGAAAGGTACTTTTCAAGAATTCTTGTTCAGTTCATTGCGTTTGTTCATGTTTTGCCCCTTTTTCTTGTTTGGCTTTTGTCAAAATTTACTGTCACATCTACGAAAAATGGAGTGATTGTGTCATTGATTAGATGCATAAGGGCTTAAGGAATGAGCTGAAAATGTAAACTACGTATCACAACCTCGAAACCCTCAGTGATTTTCTACCTTCGTTTTGTTCCTATCGATCTGATCACTCTATCTACACTTCGTGTCTTGAAAATGGGGAAACGTGTTAATGATCTACAAACTCGGTCTGATCTTCTTGGTGTCGGGAATTTCTGTAGGGTATGAATCGATAATGTCTGTCCACACGTTTTCTGTCTCGGTCTCTACTGTCCGAATGCATTTCCACACCGCACTGTTACACTTGAATCCACTGCCAAAGGCGATCTGCCAGACCCGATCACCTTTCTTCATCCTTCCTTTTGCTTCCGTGTAGGCGAGCTCGTACCAGATGGAAGATGATGACGTATTCCCAAACCTGTAAAGTGTCATCTTCGATGGCTCGAGGTCTTCTTTCGTCAGGTTCAGGTTCTTTTCCATTGCTTGAATCACTGCTCTTCCTCCTGTATGTATGCAGAAATGCTCAAACGCGGTCTTGAAGTTTGGTGTATAAGAAGAACTCGCCTTAAAGATCTTTACTTTCTTGCAAAGAAGGCGTATCAGATAACGCAATTGCTCAGAATACGGTAGTACCTTATGTCCTAGTGAAGATACATTGATCTTCAACAACTCTCCAGCCACTTCCACTACATCTTTCGTTATCGCTACCCCTACCTTCTTTTCTGAGTCTATGTCTTGGTACACACATCTGTAAGCTCTGTCATCTTTCGATCTGTTTGTCCTAACAACGTGTCTAAGCTCGTACTTTGCATTCCTTCTGTCTTGATCTCGGCTAGACATCAAGATTGCTGCTGCCCCCATTCGGAAGAGGCAATTTGAAAGAAGCATTGATCTGTCCTTTCCGATGTACCAGTTTATACACAACGCCTCCGTGCTCACTATGAGCGCCAACGAGCCACGATGAACCTTTAACAAGTCGTTCGCCAGAGCAACCGAGAGAATCCCGGCTCCACATCCCATCCCGGAGAGGTTAAAGCTCCTGATATTGCTCCTCATCCGGAACCTCTTGATCACCATGGCGGTTAGAGATGGTGTAGGAGAATACATACTGCAATTCGTTATCAGTATATCTACGCTTCTCGGGCTGACTTTCCTTTTCTTCAGCAGGTCCTCAACAGCCGTGAAGATCGTTGTCATGGCTTCGTCTTCGACAAAGGCGAGAGATTTCCTGATGGGTATCTCTGTCATGGAAGGAGGGGCACTTACAAGGTCGCTCAGCCACGATCTTTCGAGGATCCGGGCTTGGAAATCCATGCTTGCTTGGTCTAACCGGTTATCCAAGTGGATGTTTTCAAGGAGGGTGGACATGGGAAGGCGGTAGGAATCAGGTGGTCGGTAACAAGTGAAATCAAGTAAGTAGACTTTGGCTCTTCTTCTGTATACAAGAAACAACAGAAGCAACCCGGCTATGAACATGACCATGTAGCGATCAGAGCTGATAAAAAGAAGCTCGGGGAATTCAAGAACTCGTCGAAAGATCATGTTCGACGAGGATGATGATGATGATGATGATGTTTTTATGGGTTTGGTTCACATGAAGAATCTGATTCGTCGGTTTTTGCATATAAAACAATGTATTGGACATGACAGGACAGATAAGATAGAATGAGATCTTCATGGTGAACTCTTTCAGTGTTGCTTTCATTTTTATTTTCCTTCTGGAAGCCTTGCTCTGTTAATGGTTTGCACGTCTCTGTAGTTGGACAGAAACGGCACGGTGTCTGCATGAAACTTTGGAAAACGTCGGGCTGTTCTGACTAGCCCCACAGGTACGATGTCGTTTCGCAGTGCTCTTTCTTTTTTATAGCATGATTGAATTTGATATGTCAACGAGATTATTTAATTTATACCATAAGCGTTAGATTCTGTTACGACTATGGAATCTCAAAGAGAGATCAAATTTTCAAAAATCATACTGATTTTTTGTGTAAATTTAGTATTTTTATTATATCGATTTTTTTAATTTTTTTTCGTTTTAATAAAGGAATTTGTGTAGAGTTATTAAGGAAATTCGTTTTGATCTATTAGAATTAACAACAACAAAAAATCAACACTACGAAAATTTGATCATTTTATAAAACTTGGGTATTAAATAGTGAATGTTGAAATATTGAATGTTAAAATGAATATTTAAGTATATAGATATCATGACAAGAAAATTTCCAAAGTTATATATACATATATATAGCTTTTTGTACCAATTTCAAATGTACATATCGATTTGGTACAAAATCGAGATATCATAATCAATCTTATATTCATATTTGTTGATTCTTTTTTTGGTTTTTTTCCTGTTTTTTAGCTTTGGATGCATATAAATTATCATATTTTTTTTTGTATCAAATCTATATATTTGAAAAGATCATTTGAATGTGATAGGAGGTTTAATGAATCTCCATTTGATTGTGTTCAGTTTTTCACTTATATATCACCATTATTTTCTTATATATATATATATATATATATATAAATCATATTTTTACCCATTTCTATATCAGAATCAATTTCTCACAACCCTATTTACATCGAAAAAATCTATTGTATATATTGAAAAAAGTAAATAAATAAATAAATAAATTTTGGATTTTTTTTTATAAATAAGGGTATGTCAGAAAGCAGCCTTTTTTCTTCCGTCTCTTTGCATGCCCAATTCATATGTAATTTCATCTCAATGGACCCTCTATTCCCTCCCCCAATCATTTCTCTCTCACACGTTTACATGTTTTCTTCATTTAACCATACCATAAAACTACTTAATATGATCAAAAATATGATCCGACATTAAGGTTTTAATGTCAATAAATCATACATAACATGCATCATGTCATATACATGGTGTTGGACCATATGATGCCAATCATCTCTCGTCCACACAAGTTTATGTTTTTTGATGATCAATCTTTTTTCTCGTGCACTTCTTGACCATGTTTGACATTTCAATGTCTATATACAATTTAGAGCTTATAGTATTTGTGTATATAATGGAATTCTAAGACAAGGGTTAGGTGATGGTAACATGATTAGCGTGGTTGGATTGCATGGATGAGTGAAGTTGTGGCCTAATGAGGAAACATAAACACATATGTGTTTTTGGGGCCATGGAATCATTGCATGTGCAAAGTCGTGATGATGATGATGATGATGATGATGATGATGATGATGATGATGATGATGATGATGATGATGACCAAGTAGCCAAGCAGAAAAATGAACAAGAAAAGGGTGGCAATGGCAATACATAGTACTGGAATCAAAAGATCACAAGCCAATGTTCAAGAACAAAGGAAAACCTAAAAAAAATTAAACACATCAAAAGATTTCTTGAAAAAAACTAAAGTATTCTTTTCAAGATTAAATACTTTATTGCATCAAAGATTCATTCGGGGTTCTCTAATTTGGGGGTTTTCAGCTTCTGACGGCCAACAATGGAGGGATGACATCCATGTTCTTGCTTGTGGGCACAGCAATTGTACGGCCGCTTCTCCCATCTTTACCAGAGGAGGAAGAAGAAGAAGAAGCTTTGGTGGTGAAAGCTCTCATGGGGCTTGCAAAAGCCCATCCCCAGCTTCTGTTCCTTCCATGCACCAGCTTTTCATGATGATGATGATGATGGCCAGCTGACAGTGATGATGATGAGGAGGAAGATGAGGATGATGATGATGCCATCATCATTAACCCACTAAAGATCCCACCACACCTCACCACGTCTCTCATCCCTCCACCATTGCCATTACTACTACTGTTGACCTTTGCTCTGTTAGCTCCTTCTCTCTGTGACTCGACCCTTCTCAATGTACAATCGCCAAACCCATTTGAGATTCTCCCAAAGAAATCATTGGAGAAGCTTCTGCTTCCACACCCTACAGATCTGGATCTCGACACTTTCCTCCCAGCCGATGAATTCCCACCATTGACATTACTTGCTGTTGTTTCTGCAACTATTGCATTAGGACTCTCATCTTCCACGATCACTTCAATGCTGCTCCTTTTACCACTTCCTCCACCTACCTTCTTCGATGAAGAAGACGACCCTGTCTCTGTCTGATTCGTCCTCGCCTCGTTCTTGTCTGATTTCGACAGACCATGACCGTCATTCTCACTCTGGTTGTTGCTGCTGTTGGTGGTCGTTCTCGTTCTTGAATGGTGAAAGTTCTCGACTTTCTTCTTGGTCGCCGTGCTGCTGCTGCTGCTATTGTGTTTAGAAGAGGATAGATGCAGAAACGACCAAAACCCACCTCGTCTCCTCGTGCTAAAGTGCTGTCCGTGCATCGTCGTCGTCGATTTGCTCTTCTTATTGACGATGTCATCCGTACGATTCGCCGAAGCCGAAGCTGCCAGCATCTTCTTCTTCTTTTTCTTGGCCAACAGAAACGGGAGTTTGTAATAGTACACTTCACGTCCACTGTTACCGGCGGCTTTCGCAGCCACGGAGAGAGACAGAGACAGAGATCCGGCGGCGGAGAGGTTGCCGGCGATAGAACCGCTGGTTCCGACAACACAAAATTAGAACTCCAAAACGATGAAAAAATATTCTGGGAAAGAGGAAGAGACCAACTTTACGAGCTTTTCTTGGAGACAGAAAGCACAGATGCCTCCTGGGTTCTTGGTGTAAGGATGGTTGCTGCATTGCAACCCATCACTCATCTCCTGGTCCTTGAGCTCTTCCTCCATTGCTGCACAAAAAAAAAAAGAATGCCTCCTCTGTTTTCTTTTTTTTATTGTCTACTTAAAAAGCTCGGTTCTTGAGATTTCTTGAGAGTGAATCACGGCATCTAATGCACAGAAATTCAGCTTTCAGCCTCTCTCTCTCCTTTTGAGAGACTGAGTTGAAGAAATGAAGAACACTGGGTTTCTGCAGAGTTTGTAGAGAGGGGTCGGCTTCCCAGGTGCACGTGGAATACTGACTCTCTCTCTCTCTCTCTCTTCAAACCTTCCAAAACTGGCAAAATTGCAAAAATAACCCAACTTGTCGATTTGGACTTCACGGCATGACCCTCTAGGTTTAGGGTTTTAAAAAAAAAATCTAAAATGATAAAAAGACTAATTTGCCCTTAAAATATTGAATACGTGGCAATTCAATGGAAAGTAGGAAACGACAACAACTCTCTGTGTTTCCAAATTTTCAAACAAACAAACACGAACGGACAAACGTCTTCTCCTCTCATCCGGTTTCTTTCTTCAATCGCGCAAATCTCTCGGGTTCTTCTTACAAAATCGTCTTCTGTCGGCACAAATGGCTTCATCTTTGGCTTCTCCTTCGGTTACTGCTTCGGTTTCTACTTCAGAAGATCTACAGGTATGGTACACTCACCGAAAAAATTGATTGCGTCGTTCGTCCTCTCTTTGTCTTTGTGTTTATGTGTTTGTTTCGGGTTTAAACTCCAATAGAGTAATGTTCGAGTCGTTTGGGTTAGAAAAATTAGGGTTTTAGGTGAAAAATAGAGATTTTCAGAAAGATAGTTAATGAAAGTCGAATTTTTTGGTCAGACGGTTATATTACTCGAATTAGTCAGACCCATGAAATGGGTAGACCAATGAAATGGTCAGACCAGTGAAATGGTCAGACCCGTGCAGTGGAGAAACCAGTGAAGTGGTCAGACCCTTGAAATGGTCAGACCCGTGAAGTGGACAGACCAGTGAAGTGGTCAGACCCGTGAAATGGTCAGACCCGTAAAGTGGGCAGACCAGTGAAGTCTGGTTAGACCCGTGAAATGGTCAGACTCGTGAAGTGGGTAGACCAGTGAAGTGGTCAGACCCGTGATGTGGTCAGACGAGCGAAATGGTCAGACCGGTTAAATGTCAGACCCGTGAAGTGGTCATACTTCACTGGTATGACCAGATTTATTGTAATCATAGTCTGTTTCGTAATTGTAATATAATAAAACTGATCATGAGAGTTAATCTAATTGTTGCAGGTCCCTTTTGTGTACGCTTTCAAGGATATTCAACACCGTGCATTAAGGTTGGAAGGAGAGGAAAAAGAGTTTTGGTTTGTTGTAAATGGCGTGCCCATCAGATACTCGATCCAGGAACATGCCATTATCTCCGACTTAAATTTTAACAACTATTCGGAGGACTGGACTAAATGTAAGGGAAGTGAATTTCGGAAAAGAATATTCGGAACTTCAAAAGTTACCATAGAAGCTGCATTAAAGAAGTTGCGCGAAACTCCACATGCAAATGTGGAAGAAAGAAAGAGATTAGCAATAATTGTATTGTTTTAAACAGTGATTTGGTGGACATGGTCGAAAGTCTGGACTTCTGTGAAGGGTTTCCCTGGAGAAGATACACCTTCGTTAAGATTAGCGATCAGATTCGGAAATTGTATAATGAATTGGTTTGTATATTGCAGTTTCTTCCTTTCGAATGCATCGAAAGTTTAGGCGCAAATGGATGGTATATTGATGTTGAAGGTATCGATCCGACTTGTCCTAGGATGTGCAAGAAATGCATCAAACCGGATCTTTTTATACATATGCAAAGGTGTATAAACAGATTGGCGATACCTCAAAGATACATATTAATTTGGTGATTTCTTTTATAGTGTCACCAGTTGGATTGGTCTGACTAATTGAATTGGTCTGACAAATTGAATTGGTCTGACCAGTTTGTGATTAGTATGACCAATTTGTAATTGGTCATACCTGTCATAATGTAGTCACACGAGCCATTTTTTCAGGGATTTCGAAGTGTTCTTCAAATATATAGCAATGAAGGTGTTAGCATACCATGGTCAGATGGTCAGACCTATTCGAAATTGCGAGATTCATCGGTTTGAAAGTGTTAACATCGTAATAATTATCTCGTATGATCGATTTCTCTAGTTGAAATCGGTAGTAGCAATATGAACTGAACATCTTTTTTTGATGTCAAAGTAACTCTTTCCAAAGAAGACCTAAACTATTAGTAGTGTTTGTGTAACACATTGGACACAATTGACTTATGTTGGTAGATTTTTTTTCTCCACACAAAATTAGAACTCCAAAACGATGAAAAAATATTCTTATATCCCTTATACAACTTTTCTAATCGTTTGAATTTAATTTAGGTCTTTTTTTCGTACCCGAATGGTCAGACGGTCAGACGGTCATATGGTCATACTATGGTCAGACGGTCAGACCTATTTGAAATTGCGAGATTCATCGATTTGAAAGTGTTAACATCGTAATAATCATCTCGTATGATCGATTTCTCTAGTTGAAATCGGTCGTAGCAATATGGACTGAACATCTTTTTTTTTTATGTCAAAGTAACTCTTTCCAAAGAAGACCTAAACTAGTAGTAGTGTTTGTGTAACACATTGGACACAATTGACTTATGTTGATAGATTTTTTTTCTCCATACAAAATTAGAACTCCAAAACGATGAAAAAATATTCTTATATCCCTTATACAACTTTTCTAATCGTTTGAATTTAATTTAGGTCTTTTTTTCGTACCCGAATGGTCAGACGGTCAGACGGTCATATGGTCATACTATGGTCAGACGGTCAGACCTATTTGAAATTGCGAGATTCATCGATTTGAAAGTGTTAACATCGTAATAATTATCTCGTATGATCGATTTCTCTAGTTGAAATCGGTCGTAGCAATATGGACTGAACATCTTTTTTTTTATGTCAAAGTAACTCTTTCCAAAGAAGACCTAAACTAGTAGTAGTGTTTGTGCAACACATTGGACACAATTGACTTATGTTGGTAGATTTTTTTTCTCCACACGAAATTAGAATTCCAACACGATGAAAAAGTATTCTTATAACCTTTATACAACTTTTTTAATCCTTTAAATTTAATTTAGGTCTTTTTTTCGTACCCGAATGGTCAGACGGTCAGACGGTCATATGGTCATACTATGGTCAGACGGTCAGACCTATTCGAAATTGCGAGATTCATCGGTTTGAAAGTGTTAACATCGTAATAATCATCTCGTATGATCGATTTCTCTAGTTGAAATCGGTCGTAGCAATATGGATTGAGCATCTTTAAATTTTTGATATCAAAGTAACTCTTTCCAAAGAAGACCTAAACTATTAGTAGTGTTTGTGTAACACATTGGACACAATTGACTTATGTTGGTAGATTTGTTTTCTCCACACGAAATTAGAACTCCAAAACGATGAAAAAGTATTCTTATAACCCTTATACAACTTTTCTAATCGTTTGAATTTAATTTAGGTCTTTTTTTTCGTACCCGAATGGTCAGACGATCAGACGGTCATATGGTCATACCATGGTCAGACGGTCAGACCTATTCGAAATTGCGAGATTCATCGGTTTGAAAGAGTACATTAAACCCACATAATCATATGATAATATGGTCAAAGTAGAGATATCAAATACAAATACGGAAATACGAATTTAAAAGTACATTACACCTACATAATCAAACTCGTTTACCAAAATCGTCGAGACGGTCATATTCTGGTCAAACCAGTCATACCAAATACAAATCGAAATACATTCCACCCGCATGATCTTATGACAATGATATGTTGGCTGAACCTATCGAACATGTATTCTTCTTTCCTTCCCATTCATATGCTCCGATCGATTTTACTACCCACTTGCCATCAGATTTATAATAAATAATCATCATCCTCTCATTAGTTGCATCCATTATACCTATATAAAATAAACACAAATGTGATAAAATGATACACTTGAAAAATGTCACAGGTTTGATGAGTATGACCATTTTGACCAATTTCACGAATATGACCAGTTTGACCAATTTTGACAAGTATGACCAGTTAGGAGTATGACCAGTCTCACCATTTCGACATGTATATGTTACCAGTTTTCTGAATTCTCCCATTTTAACGAATTTCACAAATATAATGATTTCAACCAGTTTGAATAACATATTCATATATATGTCATTTTTGTATATGTCATTTTTGTTTCAAACATATTTATATGGATTAAATATAAAAATGATAAAATAATAAATCACAAATGTCCAAACTTAATAACAAAATTTAGAAACAATACTTACCTTTTATTCAGATTTATGTTGAATCGATTAAATGCCCAAGCTTAATGTTGTTTTTTCGCAACAAATTAGCTAAAAAAAGAGTAGAGATGAAGAGAGTGTGAAGACTACTGAACGAGAGAGAAGAGAAAGCGGACGAGGAGAGAGAGAAGAGGAAGAGGAGAGAGAGTTGAAATTTATTTTTTAAAATTTAATAATAAATAAAAAATGAAGGGTATTTTTGGAAGTATATTATTACAAGGTTATCACATGATGTTGTCTTTTTTTTTTCCAAAGTGAGGGTTATCACGTGAAGTAAAAATGACATTTAAAGTCATTTTTGTAAATCCCCCTCCAAAACTTGTATCGTATCTTTCTACGTGTCACTTTTGTGTTAGGGTTGGTCATAATTAACCAGACATCCACGTGGCTCTCTATACTTTATTATGAACCCTAATTACATGTTCTAATTACTTAATGGCAGACGCAAAAATCACCCGTTGACACTAATCTAATTGCTATAATTCCTATATTTAAAAGACATTGATACTTATATTAGGCTTAAGATATAAGTAATATCAGAATAATATTAGTTTAAGGCCATATAATCTTGAGATTATATAAACCCTTTTTGGTTTAAACCCTCATTGAGTTTATGAGGACTTCCTAAAAATATGATTATTTTGATAATGACAAAATCCCTTCCAACATAGTAAAAGTTTCCTCGTCGTATATGGTCGCCGTTGTCATCATCAACGCTATAGGAAAATTAATATTTCAATTTATATCTAATTCGAAAAGATTAAAATTAATATCTGAATGATTTGATGTACATGCTTAATTTCCAATTTAAAATATTTTTATATGTATAGAAATATATTAAACAAAAAATAACTATCAAATATTTTTATAATGTATCAATTATCTAAATCTCTTTCGCATACAAAGTCTTTACAGAATTTTACCATCTAACCTTAATTTTGGAAGGAAAAAAAAAAGTAAATAAGCCCAAATTAATTTTTATCATCTCAATTAAAATTAGGTGATTTTGTCAAAGGGCATTTGGTCTAGTGGTATGATTCTCGCTTAGGGTGCGAGAGGTCCCGAGTTCAATTCTCGGAATGCCCCGCTCATTCTTATTTCTTTATATTTAAATTTTATTTATTTTATTATTAACAAAGGTGGAAAATGGCTACACGTGAGATAGGATGGGGACCCATGGACGCACCAAAACCTACACGTGATATAATTCAATGGCCTAATTAAATCTTTTTTTTCTAAATATATCCCCCTAGTCCTACATCTATAGAGAGAGTGAAATTAGCATCTTCATCATCACATAAACCATTACATTTTCATCACGTCATTAAAACATTTTTTTTTTCAAATTCAAAAACTGATTAAAGAAGTATCTAAAATTAGGGTGTCAAATGAGCCACCTCGGATCATTTTGGGCTCGGATCGTTTTAGGCTCAGCTCGTTAGGTTCGTTTTCTAACGAGGCAGAAAAACCTCGGCTCAGATCGCTCGCCAGTTTTCCGATCTGAACGAGCCGGCTCGTTGAGCCAAGGATATATAATATTTTTTATTTATATTTATTTTAAATATAATTATAAATTTAAATAAATACATAAAAAATTTAATAAAAGACCAATACCATTTAATATTTGTAATTATCACCATCATAATAATTAGTATATTTATAATATCATATCAACAATATGAAAAAAAAAATAATATAAAATTATATTAGAGTTTTTTTATATAAATTTAATTTATTTTTAAAAAAATACCAGCTCGTTGAGCAGCTCGCCAGCTCGTCGAGCCAGACTCGTTGAACACGTGTTCAATGAGCTCTGGCTCGTTAGACTCGTTTTTTAACGAGCTGAAAAAATTACGGCTCAAATCGCTCGTTTTCTGGCGAACAACGAGCCAGCTCGCGAGCCGGGCTCGTTTTGACACCCCTATCTAAAATAGATCTTAGCCATTTGAATGTATTAATTTGTTTGGTTTGTATTTCGAATTGAAAAAAAAAAGTCTCGTCTTGCAATGAGGGAAATAGTTACAATAATATGACAACAAAAAAAAATCTTTGCTTTTTCCTATAGAATTATTATATACGTTAAAAAAAGGAAGCATATTTCATAGTAATTAATGTGATACAATACATTGAGCAAAGACATGATCACTTAGATCTCGTGACATTTTAGCCCTTCATTATCTCCAACGGCACAACTTTTATCTCCGGCGACTGTTGAATCTGCTCGCCGGATTTATTACCGGAGCTGAATTTACAAAACCATTGTACGTTACATATTCTTGGAGAAGATTATTGTTAATTTGTTATCCAAGAAACACACTGCACGTATACAACTTAGTCAATGCATTTATATACATACATACATACATACATACATACATACATACATACATACATACATACATACATACATACATACATACATACATACATACATACATATATATATATCACCTTTGCGGCGTGGTAGGATATCGATGATGATTCCATAAACTCTCTGGGAGACACCCGATGAGACGTGTTTCGTCGTGAGCTACATCTGCATTTACCTGTCATTGGAAAGAAAATTAGTGTATTGAAACGTTCAAAATTCGACGAGAGATTATTATTATTATTATTATTATTATTATTATTTACCGTTCGTTCTTGAGGATTATTCAGAGCGTAGCGTTCTTTTCTTCTCTCGACAGCGAGAAGATAAGCGTATTTGCAAGTGAAGAACAGAAGCAGAATACCGAGGGAGAACACGATGAGAGATTCCAGTACAATGGCCGATCCCAGAACTGCAACTCAAGTGTCAGAGAAACAAAGAATGCTCGTGTCACCTTCTAAACGAAATTAGGGTTTATAAGTACCGTGGGCTGCAAGGGAGCTCAAGGGTATCTTCCTTATAAGTTTTACGCGAGCTTCTGCCTGCAGAGGCAATGAAATTCTCTCGTCGTAGTCCAGATAGCATCCGTAATTCCCCATATCGTTCAGTTTCAATGTCAAGACCGCCCCATTCTCCCCGCCCTCACATATATATATATATATATATATATATATATATATATATAATCAAAACATTCATAATGGATTACCTGATGGAACAACTGTTGCAATGCGTCATTACAGTCTTTGATCGTTCCGCGGAATCTAATCCCTCTGGCTTTGATCTTTACGTGTTTAGAGATAGCTGCGTAAGTCTGAAGCAGCTGCCATCGGAAAGTGTTCATGAACTTTAGCTCTGTTGAGTTTATAAGCTCGGACGGTAGACTTGTCAGCAGAAATCCATCAGTGACTTCCACAGAGAACACTACCAGGAAGTTAGATTCACCTCCTGTCCTGACATTTTACTCTCATCAGTCCAAAAGAACAGCCGTAGCTTGAAGTTTGCCAGTTTCGGTCTTAGTGTTAGTAAACGCCATACCCGGAAAGTTAGAAAGATCAGGATCTCCAACCGAGAACTCGAACTTGTCTGCTTCCCGGTCAAAAATGAGGGATTCATCCCCATTGCTTTTCAACATTATATACTCAGGAACGTTAATAAATGGAGGATCATTGACGGGTTCCACAAAAACTGGGACATCTACTTCGTTTATCCCATTCTTGTTTGTTGTGGATAACCGCAGAGAATCGACACCAGCAAAGTTCTCATCTCTGAGGCAGACCGAAAGAAATATTAACAAAAAGGATGTGAAATGTGCAAACAGAATGTATACCTTGTGATCCATACCCGAGATATTGAATGGACTGAAGTGCGAGATTGATTGATCCTATTTGGCCTTGTAAGATCAAAAGCTTCTCATCTTGACCTCCGTTGCTAACCGAAAGATTTTCACTCGTTTGCTGTCTGAATTGCATCACCATTGGAGACAAGAAGACAGTTCCCGACAATGCAGACAGAGTCACTGAAATGTTCTCCAGCAGATCAGAGTACCGTATCTCCAACCCTGAAAACCCACTGCAATGTTCAAGAAGAAGGTTTAATACAACATAAGAACCCATCCATCGCAGTGAAAAGCACAGAAAGGATAACGTTTTTCGACAAACAGTGCGGATTACTTGCCCGAATCTTGGACTAATTAGATCTTCGGTTGCTTGCAATCCGCTGGGAAACGAAGCAAACTGAGGAGGAGCAGTAAGAACTGAGATGTTTACTGCAGCTGTAGCTAAGTTCCCATTCACATCGGATATCGTGTAAACAAACAAGTCGTTTCCTGAAAAATCCTTGAAAGGTGTGTATCTAAGGAGCCTTCCGTATCGCAGAAGTGAACCATGACCTGGCTGAAAAAAATGTTAAAACACCTAGAAGTCAATCCTCTTTCATCGATCTCATAAAAACAACATATTAACTTTAATGTTTCCGAGTATAATCCGTTAAATTCTCTTTAGGAACAAGAAAAGCTAGCAAATTTTACATGTGAGAAATCAAGAATGCTCGCATTTTCACCAGCGAAATAATCGTTTCCTAGTGCATCAAAAGCAATTGATTCGTCCTCCCATACATTTACCGTATCATCATAGGCCTTCGGGAAGTATTCACCTGAAGAGAACCAACTCTCTTAAACTCGAAGTAGAGACAAGACAAGAAGAAAGAAAAATTGGCAATAGAAGAAATCATATGGATTTACCACTATAGACATTTATATCAAAGGGGCAAGGCCGGATATGGGCATTGTCGAAGATTACACACATCCGGTAAGTACCAACCTCCATGACCAGATAGCTACCTGTGTATGTCCCGTCATGATTATCGACGAAAGGCCATGTAGTAAAACCTGATGTGTTAGCAGAGGTGATCTCTAACTTCAACCGAGATGACTGCGAAAGCACAGGATTATAGAAGTTGTCCAATAACAGCACCACCAATTCATTCTTGATTTGCTTTGGCACTTTGGCATTGAATTGAGTCACACTAGATTCCAGAACATTTACTTCACCTGCAAAGCAAAGAATTTGCAGATCAAACACAAACTATTCACATATATGTCTAGTAACTTGAAATGGCAACAATGTGGAACAGATATAATACCTGCTTTTACTTCCTTTGTGAACGGTTTACCTCCATTCAGACCTATGTTTCCACAGGATACAAAGGTTTTATAAATTCCAATGCTTTTTGGAGTATAATTTACGTCAAATATGCTGGTTTGAACTATTCGACTGTCTGAATCCTGCAAGAAGCAAACGATTTGAACTCCGAGCCTAACTGGATATGTATAGAGGAATATATATAGACACTCCTTACATTGCCTCTATATGCTTCAATGTCGGATACAGTTCCTATTAACGGACTCCTTGTGACGTTGGTACCGTTGAGGATTTCTCTTGGTTGTATTATTGGCAATATGTAAGAGGAATCGTTCTCTCTTATAATCTGAACCTGAAGTTTGTCCACATCAGTGGCTGAGAGATAATCATAAGCATCCTTCAAGTAAACGGAAAACCCTACAGACTCTCCGGCGACAGAGTCGTTGATCCCTGAACCATTGACTACACTTCTCGATCCATCACAATAGCCTGCGAAGAAGATTAATATGAGAAAAAAATGCTGCAATGAAAATTTACTGACGGGTCAAAATGAGCATATTGACAATTACTGACCGACATATACGGTATAAGCATACGGCATACTAGAAATGCTCTTGTTGTGATTCATATCAGACATTGTGAGCAAGAAGCTTCCGGGTTCAGACATGGTGAAAGACAACAGCTGGATCCCCGGTTCCACATACTCGAATTGCAGATCTACTAACGGTACAGAAAGGCCTGTCTCCTTTTCTACAACGTCGGCATCAAATTCATAGACTCCCGAAACAAGATTCCCAAACCTATCTTTCTGGTGCAGAAGAATTTCCATCTTGGAGAATATCTGCCATGTGTTTAGCTCCGACTTCCATTTGCCCACGCAGTTCGAGACTTCCAAAGGGCCTGAAAAGAACCAACAGAAACAGGCAAGAACACAAAGTGTCTCGGTTAAAATCCACCACACATGATAGAAAACGTTGAACTGGATTATACAAAGCTCGAATCACCTGGCTTCACCTCGAAAGGAAGAGGAGCACCATTCAAGGTCTGGTGTTCCCTTTCCACAAGCAATAAGAAGTTTCCTGCCGTCACAAGAACGAATTCCACTACGATATTACCAGACTCAATCCAACCGATGTGCGTGACATTGGGCGAGGCGGCAAACGATCCGTTATTATAGAGGATCGAAAGGGAAAACCCCTGCCAATCTGCGTCCTTCCCGACTAACGAAATGTTGTTTCCAAACGCGTCGTTGGGAAGAATCAAGATCGATACGTTCATACCAGCTTCGAAAATATTCATAAGCCCCATCCAAGAAGTAACACAAACGGATGGGTGAAGTAACCCTTCACAAAGAACAAAATACAACAAAAAATCAAAATCCACAAACAAACAATCCTTAAGATTTTTATAATTTTAAAAGGGAATCTGCCAAAAAAAACCGACCTGGTTCGACTTCAAAATGGAGGGATGAATCCAGAACTTTGAAATTCTCATCATCTATAACCACACTGAACACACCGACCATGATCGGACAAAAAGTTATCTTCCAAGTGCTGACATCGTCACCGAGATCCAGCGAAACTCCAGAGATGTAAGAACTGTTCCCAGTTTTACCATTAACACTGACGGTCGGCTTAAATGCTCTTTGTCCTAACGACTTGTTCCCTTTTTCGTCGAAATTGCCCAGAACTTTGATTATTATAGCCGCAATTTCGCCTGCCTGGAACTTGCTCTTATCATCCAACCAACTGAATGCAAACTTCGGTTCATCTACAAACAAAAGAAAATTCAAAAGCATAAATAAATTCATGTCAAGTGACTAAATCGCGAACGGATTGGACAAACGAAGTGGCTCTATTCAAGAACCTGGAAGTTGCGAATTCGAGATTTCTGTAAATAAGAAGATAACCACTAGTGAAAGGAATTTGATGGCCATGGTAGAGAGGAATTGAGACGATTAGGGTTCGAGAACAAGCGCCAATTTTTTTTTATTGAATTGGGTTTTGAACAGGAGGCATTAACGTTGGGATCGATCAAGGGATAGAAATTCGACACGTGGCAGAGATACGATTTTGACCGTTGGATCATGTCCAGCGCGGTTGGAAAGGTAACCAACTCTTTCATCGCCTTTTTCTCGTGAAACTTGTTACCTTTTCCGCTGGTCGAAGAAACGGCTTGCAGTTCACACCTTGCATCAAAAAAACAGCACGGCGTGCGTCAACGAATCCAATAATTGGCTTGGCTATCACATATTAGTATTCCAGAAGGAAACAACATGACGTTTCCGACATTTAAACAACGCGCAGTTCATACAATTAGTTCTTTGTTCAATCTTGAACAGAACATACATTGAGAATACAGACAGAACTCTCTATCTCATATGTAACATAAGCAACTCCGGTTTCTCTATAAACCGTTTCCATTCGCAGCAAAACCGAGCCACCGTCGCTCCATCAAGAACTCTGTGGTCGGCGGCGACATTCACCTGAAGGAGACAGAACCATTAGACATCTGAATCATAATCTCTGAGTTAGAAACTTGAGCAAGAAACAGGTTACATTACCGTCATTATGGATCCGGGGTAAACAGTTCCGTCGTCCGAGAATTTCGGAACTTTCTGGATTCTACCGAGAGCTATGATCGCAACTTCGGGTAAGTTGAGAAGAGGGGATCCGAATTTCCCACCGATTGCTCCAATGTTGCTCAGAGTTATGGTTCCACCGGTTATGTCTTCGGGGTTAAGCTTGTTGTTTTTTGCGAGATGTTGTAACCGAGACAGCTCCTTTGTTACCTAGATGACGGGGGGAAACGGTAAATGTACCGAAGAATCTACTCAAAATATTTACAAACGGGTAAAATTAAACTGACCTGTAGAACAGAAAGAGACTGAACATTCTTTATGTTGGGAACAACAAGACCGTGTTGAGTAGCCATTGCAACTCCAATGTTATGTGAACCTGAAAAAAAAAAAACCGACAATCTTAGAAACAGCTCACGTTGAAATCACAACCGACGGGTGAAGTGGGTGAAACCTTTGAGTATCATTTCGATAGACTCCTCGTTGAAGCAACTGTTCATGGTAGGGTACTTGGTCAGAGCCATCGAGAGGGACTTGATCAACACCGGGAGGAAAGTGTGTTTGATGTCGGGATCGGTATTGTTCTCTTGAAAAGACGCTTTAAGATCTACCAAGGCGTCGCAGTTTATCTCTTCGACGAAATAAAAGTGTGGCACCTTTGCTGCCATGGTCATCGTCTTCACCATTGCTCGGTGGAATCCCCTGAGAAATGCAGAAAAGATCTATAGTTACGACGAAGAATAGATATGATGATTCTCCGCGTAAAGATCCACACTAACAAACAACGCAATACCTCAGAGGAACTGTTTTATCTTCAGCATTACTTTCCCCGCTCGAAACTGCGCAATCTTGATCCGTGACATCGCTAGATGCATCAGTTACGATTCCTTTCTGGGCACCATATCGGAGAACATCTTCTTTCAAAATTCTCCTGTCTTTACCGGTTCCAAGAACATCATTGATATCTATGCCAAGCATCTTTGCAAGATTCCGGACAGCCGGAGTTGATAGCACTCCACCGAGACTTTCGGTTTTTGGCTGCTCACAAACACGAGAATTTACATTTGCAGAAGAACTGTCAGAGGTTACTAGGCAACACTCGGATTCTTCAACAGCCAGCCTCAGAAGAGTCTCTCCTACCTGCAGGTGTACCGAAAGTTTTCATACAGATGAAGTCCTTCTCACTTGGGGCGATGATCCAAGAACTTAAGTTAAGCCCGAGAAAATGTTCTTGGCATCAAGAATCGTATCTGAAGATTCATACGTAAATGAAACACAAAGCTTACGTGACAGAATCATCGATTTATGAAATATTTAACAATGGGTATTGCATCTGTTGCAGTCGTTGAGCCATATTGTTGAATAAGGACGATAAGAGCTACGGCTCACAGGTTTCAGGCAGAAAAAACGTCGGTAACTGCAAATTTCCATGATACTACAGACGATATAAACCAGCTTTTTAGGTTCTAACCTTGACAATATCACCAGGGACGTGAGAAATCTGAGCCACTTTCCCTTTAAAACGGCTCGTTATCTCTATCGTTGCTTTGTCACTCTGAACCTCGCAGAGAGGCTGAAATTCTTCGACCGAATCGCCCTGTCATAACCAATCACATTAACAAAGACACAAAATCCGAGCATTCAGGACAAGACAGACAAGAAACTATGAACTGACCTCTTTCACGAACCACTTGAGAAGCTCACACTCAGCAATGCCTTCCCCGGTTTGCGCCAGCGGAACATCGACTAAACCATTCGTGGAAGCTTTGGCCAACACTAGGCTCGAAAACCAGCTTCGAGTTCTAGTTCCTTCACTCCAACTCTTCAACTGTAATGATTTTGCATAAAGACATGGCAATGTAACTGATCTATTGCCTGAAACACTAAATTTGTTCTTACCGAAACTGCAGAAAGTTTCAGAAATTTCAGACACTTTATGTTTTATCAATTAACTTTCCCGCAAATTTAAAGCGTTCATCCGAACTATTCAACTGCAAAACTGGTGAAATTTCACGTTTGTAGTCGATCTAATCTAAAGAAATCACAAGTAAATTCGAAAATCATCGCCAGAAATTAAAGAACTCGTACGTCTTAGCTTCTTGGAAACGAAAAGTCGGATAAAATCTAAAGAATCACGCCCCAAAAGAAAACCTGAATTTAAAATAAAAAATAAAAAAGAAAACTCAGTAAAATCAGCCACCGGATTCGAAGAAAACTCACGGCGGGAGGGGTGACGACGCCCCGCCGCGACGGAGGAGATACGAACGGCGGAGGCGCGTTAAACTCCGGCGCCCGGAGCGACGGCGCGTGAGCAGATGCCGAGCCGAGACGGCGGAGACATCGGTGGCTCCGCAAGATCCTCCTCGCAACCATCGTAACCTTCATCCCGTTCCCTACGATGTTTGGTAACTTCAACTAATTCGGACAATCTTTGTAATCAACGGAAGAAATGCGAAAAGGATCAAACAAAATTTCTAGAAATAGATTTCGTAATCTGACAGGTGATTAGTAAGACTGATATAAAAATAAAACTAATTAGATCAGGATGTTCGAGCCACGTCAGCAATAAGAGGATCAGAGTTACACGCGCTTGCCCTCGATGATCATCATCAAGCGATTAATATTAATTGTAAATTATAATCAGTAGCTTTTTAAATTGTACCCACATTATTGGGCCAAATCAATGGGCTTTGGAAATAAATACCCAGCCGAGTCAGGCCCATCTTCAACGGCGCAAATTAATTTTAATCTCCTTAAAATTAAATTAAGGAAAAGTACCGATCTAAGGTCCGTACAGCTAACACTTTGACTAAATTGGACATCAAGCGCGGTTCTTGAGGATAAACAAAGCTGCTGTTTCTTTGTCTTTTTCTGGTATCACTCCTCATCTGTCAACCACGTCCAAAGTTAATGTTAACCACATTGCGTATATGCCTTGTTTTTATATGGATAAAAACCCTAAAAAACGTCAAACTTGTAAAAAAATATACAAATAAATTTTCAATTTGCAAAACTGTCATTCAAACCCCAAACTTGCAATATATAACTGAGTAAAACCACGAACTTGCAAATTATTGCTCTAATAACCCGTTGACTTGTTTGACCACAATTTCAGACGATCGAAAATCCACGTTGGCCCGAAAAACTGATGTTAGCGTGTCTACTTAACCAATTTTAACTGAATAAACCTTCAATCTGATTATGTTCTGTTACGTTGGCCCAGAAAACTGGATTTATTTACTCTCAAATCGGATTAAATTTTGACCCAAAAAATGCTGATGTGGCAAAAATTCATTTAAAGTAGTTACGTGGACACGCTGACATCAACTTTCCGGGTCAATGTGGATTTCTGATTGCCTGAAATTGTGGTCAAACAAGTCAACGGGTTATTAGAGTAACAATTTACAAGTTCGAAGTTTTATTCAGTTACATGTTGCAAATTTGGGGTTTGAATGACAATTTTGCAAGTTGAATGTTTATTTATATATTTTTTTGCAAGTTCGAGGTTTTTTTAAGGAGTTTTACCCTTTTTATATACTATACTGCTATCCTTGTTATAATCACCATTATACACACACGTACATATATCCACTAAAAATGGATATCGAGAAATATTCAAAACATGGTGACTCATCAATGTAATCGTAATAAAAGATATATAGTTTAATTATAATAAAGTTTTTTTTATAATACATCTCCCAAAAGAACGGAGAAGTCTAGGTGAATGTCCTCCTCACGTTTAGGTTTGAACCCAGGATGAAGACATACTTTTGCATGTTCTAGACCACCAAAAGATAGATATATATTTATATGTGTATATATTTATAGATCTTGTGAATTATGTTGGACAAACCCTTATATAATATGAACATTCCAAAAACAATATATATATATACACACACACTCTCACACACATTGGAAAAAAAAACTTGGTGTTTTGAGAGGTGCATCAATGTCTTTTTAAGCGGGCCAAGGTGAGTGTTCAAGGTACGGCCTGTCATTTTTGTTCTAAGGAAGACAACAAGAAATATTTATTTGGTCCGAGTCCCTATTAAATATTGTTAATTTCTTGTTTTCTACCTCACAGATGTCGCAAATATAAATAAAAAATAAAATAAAAACATATTTTCTCTATTCTTATAGAGACGTACGAAATTGCACTTTTACACACAAACGTACACCAGTAAAGATTGTGCATGTGGATGCGTAAAAATGATGTAGACGTGGCTTGCATGGCGCAATGTGAGAAGACGGTGAAAATGTAAAATATTATATATATATATATATACACACACACATACATATATATAAATTGTTGATAACAAAGGAAATAAAACATGACGACGTGTTTCCCAACTGTCTCTTAATTACATTCCTTAACCCATCCGCTTCCAGTTAATTACTTCCACAAAAACTACGTCTCTATCTTCCAATCGCATATTCATTTATATTCGCATACAAATTTTTTTTAACTACATCGAAATAAAAATTGATCCAATAATTCAAAAATCGATATGACGAATTCTAATGGTCTCATAGGTCAATAGATCTCATCTAGATTTTAATTTAACAACGTTTCAATTTTTTTTTCTTAACAAAATAAAACATTATTCGACCACCACCATTGGTTTACAAACACATACACTTTCGTATCGTGTGGACGACGAATATATATGTGTATATATATATATATATATATATATCATTGATTGATACATAGATATTTCATTGTAGTAGGGGACAATCATGATTTAAAAAATTGATAGTTACAGAATAGAAATTGTTCGTAACTTCCCATCGTCTTTCAATTTTGAGGCACTAAAAATTTCTAAATATAGATTTATGGGAAACAAAGACAATTTTGATGCAAAATTTTGCATGGGACACACACTGCACATGCTTGCACATGTGTTCCGGCCAATTAGCTCTTCTTGTTCCATGTGGTTCGGTGTGTGTATATATATATATATATCAATTTACCTACATATATATGTGTATGTGTATAGAAATTGTGACAAAGAATATATATATTTGGCATATTCCACTATAGCAAAACCTACTAGAAAAGTCAGATAATGCAATTTTTGGGCTAAATCCTTATATCATATATGTTCATTGCTAAATAAAGAGACGTGCATGTATGATAATTACCATTTAAACATAGAGATTTCTTTATATTAGAAATTAATTAGTAAATGGATACAATAAGAGAGGCCAAGTAAGAATTGTTATAGAAGAAAAAAAAAACGAAATTAGCCTCTACCTTCTTCGCATTTGACTAGACCGGAATCGTCGTCGAGTGAAATTCCACTTCTGCCCACAAAGTCTCGAGCCTTCAACGACTCTCTCTCCCAATCCGTGTAGTAAACGACGGTCAAAATGGACATTGCACACACGATCTGTGCCCCGAGCAACCCATAACACAGCCCGATAAACCCTAATCGCCAACCAAACCCCAATCCCACAGCAAGTGGGGCCCCCACCACGTAGAATGCGTAGAAGTTGATCTTCGCGCCGACACGTGGCCTCGCACTGCCACGTAGGATCCCACAGCTAGTCGTCTGCGGGCAATTCGCCATCTCACATACTCCGACCACCGGCAAAACCGCCGCCGCAAGCTCTACCACCGCTCTGTCCGATGTGAACACCCTCCCCCAAGCCTCTCTCCCGGCGGTGGTCCCCACACGTCCCACCACGGAGACCGCACCCGCTCACGCTCGTTGCTCACACGTGTAGAGGCCGCGGCTGAAAGAGCGGTTGGGACAGTATACATAAGCGACGTCGTCTGGATGACAATGGCCGCCGCCGCGAGCGCCGTCTCCGGCTCCGGCAAGTATCCGGCGAGGATAGTCATGAACTCATACCACCACCACTCCAGACACACCGCTACGCAACTGGGTACGGCCAAACCCACCAAACTCGACCAGATTTCGCGATCTCTTGTCGTGGAACCCGACAACGACATCAACATCAACGGTGTCTTGAGACAAGAACTAGTTGTGGTAGCAGTCCTTGTCGGCTTGTCATCATAGTCACTGTCCATTTCGTTCGCACATGTGTACATGTAACACAAAAGAAAGAACAAAGAGACAAAGTTGGTGACGAAGGACGAAACAGCTACACCAGCGACGCCGAGGGAGAGATAAAACGTGAAAAGCCAAGTAATTGGCACGTGAAACACGACGGATACCAACGTGCACCACATCAATGGCCAAGTGGTGCCTTTGCTACGTAAGTATATACGTATAGGGTGAAGAGCACTGTTGGCGACAAGATCCGGCAGAGCAAAGCGACAGTAGAGAGAAGCGATGTTGGTGATACGAGGATTCTGTCGGAGGACGAGCATGAGAGGCTGGAGATTGAGCCAGAGGAGAGAGATTGGGAGAGAAGCGAGGAGAAGGAGAAAGATGGTGCGTTTGAGAGTTAACGAGGCCAAGGAGAGGTTCTTCGAGCCGATGGCTTGGCCACAGATGGGCTCCATGCCGGAGGCAAGGCCGGAGAGGACGGAGTAGCCGGTGATGTTGGTGAATCCGACGGCCAATGCGCCGCCGGCGAGTTCGAGGCTCCCGAGTCGACCCATTGACACGACCGAGGCCATGTTCTTGAAGTAGTTCAGTAGGCTCATTGCGGTGATTGGAAAACTAATGTCGGATATTCTCTTCACCTCCTCCACCGCCTGTCGAAGCCCACCAAAAGAAAAGTATATATATATTTTTTATATTAAAAATGAAATATGATCAACAACTATATATGGTATGTATGAATGAGAATCGTTACTATATACCTCGAGCATTGTTGTGGTGTAGCCGTGGTTTTGTGAAGGATTAAGAATCCGTGACTCTTCATGTGTTGTTGTTCCTACCATCCTGTGCTTGCTTAGTGAACGATATGAACATTGAGAAGGTGGTTTTATAAGGTATGCGGAAAGGTGGTGGGGCTGTCGAAAATGGTTCTTTTCATTATATATTTTTCTATGTTAGTTAAAACTCAACATAGATTAGTAAAAAAGTCCCATTATATATATATATATAGGTGTGCATGAAAATATATATATATATATATATATATTTATAGGTGTGTATATATGGAAAAAAAATTGATTGTCATGGTTTGGGAAATTCTTCACAGTCATCCAGCTGCTGCATCAAGCGACATTGCCAGTCCATTTTCTTTTATAAAACTCAGATAATATAATTGAACTTAAACAAAAAGTGGAAGTTAGACATTTTATTTGGGAAATTTTATGGATACGATTATTTTGGTCCAACAAAAAAAAATTGTTTTAAAAAGTTGCAAAGGTATAGTTATGGGTAATGTGTCAATTTAGCATCACAGATGCAAATTTTATTTCGTTTTAAGAATTTTTTTTAATATATATATATATATAGGAAGATAAATATTACAGGGTTAATTTGGTTGGGCATATTGCTGTTTCCTTTCCTTTTTCATACGCTTTCTTTTTCTCCAAAAACTCTCCTAATTAAAGCACATTTTCATCCATCCTATTCTTGCCCTTTACACTAATCAAATCTTCTAACATAGATTTGATGACTTTTCATATATATTCTGTCAATAGATAAATGAAAAAAATATATTCTTTTTATTTTCTTAAGATTTTATTTTATTATATTATATTATATCTTAGTTCATACATGATTATATTTTCTAATTCATTCAAATTAGACAACCATCATATTTGGTAAATACAAAACTATAAAATTTTCATTTTCATTAGAACTATATTAAAAATCTCCTTTATATATAGATCCGGCCTTTTATAAATAGCTTGTGTTTTGGGGTTTCATAATTCAAGTTAAACATAATTCAACATATTATTTTGATTATTCGCTTCAATTTATGTTATAATGCTCACACACGTTTATATCATAGTATTATGAAAGTATGTATCCTTATTTTTTAAAATAAAAAAAAAACTAATTCAACGTCAAAGAAAATTATGCAGAATATGTTCTATCGTGAACAAGAATCACTATACCCCCGATACATACATGATACATATGCCTAATGTCACTTTCTAGTTTCTACACATGCGTTATGAACAATATGCACATGTATTAAAAGGTGTATGTATATATATATATATATATAGGTGTAGAGATATATGAGCAGATAAAAATTGTGTAAATCGTGGGGAAATAGAAGAAACTAATAGCGAACTCGTGTCCGAAGCTAACGCACAAGTACTCGTCACTTTCCCGATTCAAAGGAAACATATGTATCCCTATCTCTTTGTTCACTCTCGTATCATTTTCCTCTCTTGCTTCGATTTCCCGCACGTGCGTAATTTCAACGGTTGCCCTCCATCCATTTGGCACGTGTATGGGATCCATACACCGATACACGTACTTGTCTACATATATGACACATGCCTAAACTGTACAATACATATATATACATAATATATATATATATATATCCGCCTGTGCGTAAAAGCATGTGTATTTTGTTGGGCATGGATCGTCATCGTAAGATACCTTTGCCTATATATATCTTACATTTCCACAAAACAAAATAAAAATGCTAACTTTTTTAAAAGATATTTTATAACACACAATACACCCAAAAACATACGCAATAAATAAAGAAAACATTTGAAATCTCTATGATATATAAAAACTGAACAATTACTTTTAACCACTAATTAAACTGCAAATATTTATTTAACTTTTCCTATTTCTTTCGTGTAATTTATTATTCGAGTTTAAAAAAAATTGATAATAAAAAGAGCGCTGTACGTACGGGTTGTACGTAACGTGATGAGTGCGAACGTTTTATTACAATTTAATTTGAATTAATTTCTCTAAGGTCTTCTGTATTATTTTCTAGTAATATCAAATTAGTCATTATCTCCTAACTTGCATATAGATATTACTTTCAAAATATATTTTTCACTTAAGCATGATTTGTAACATTGCAATTAAGTATTTTATTTGTCTAGATAATCTAACACCATACATACTTTAGGAGGTACTACTTAATTGTTGTTAACTAATAATAAAATAATAATAACGTTTTGAAGAGGATGTTATAATGACAATTAATATTATATGAAATTTTCAAGCCATAGATTTATTCCGGGCATTTGTACGCATAAAAAAAATTCCACGTGGGATTAGTTAAATTACGCCTAAGAAAATAATAAATAACATGTGGATCAAAACACATTTTTGAATATATCATTAGTCTTAAACCAAATGAACCTATAAATAAAATTTTGTTTTCGTGAAGAGTAAAAAATATATTTCTTATCCTAAATCTGCCGTAATATATATTATGGTGAATAAGAAAAAAAAAATTTAGACTCGGTGGAATTTTCCTAACGTTTTGGGGAATATTAAGTGTGATCCGGATAAATCGAAACATATGGATTAGATTCGAGTTTCGGATAATTTTTCCAAATCATTAAACTGTTACATTCAAAATTAATCGTTATATATGTATATGAATATTGTAAATTTGTCGGAAACATATGTTATTACATATATGTACATATTGTTTGAACATGAAGAATATTCTTGTATCTTGCAAACATTTTTAACCTGTTTATATTACATAACAATCTTATTACGTTCCTAACATTTTTTAATAGTTCTCAGTTATAAACTTCTAAGAGATTAATTATATTGTTCTTTTTAAAATTTAATTGTATTAATAGATGATATTTTATTTCTTATAAAAGATATTTTTACGCGCTATAAATAATATCTTCCCTTAAAACACAAGATTTGGGAGATTTTTCTTGTTTTTTAAATGGACTACCAAAGATCTTCCACTTCCCGAAATTTCCGAACGTGCAATTGTCCGTTAAAGCCACAACACCCATCTTCCTGTCCATTTCAATTTCTTGATATTCAGCTTTAATTCCAAACCTCTTATTAAAAATAAAAATAGAGAGACTTTTGACGAATATGCTTTAATTTATTTAAAAATAAATAAATTATGTTTTTTTTTGTTATCGTTGTTTCCTTTTGAATTCCAAATCGAAATGTTTCAAACGGAATGTTCTTCATTCTTTGTGTCAATAAACATACAAAAACTCTTTTAAGGCCGCAAAAATAATAATTTTAAATTTGGACCGATGAGTATATCAAAGACAGGACACGAATTCGTCTTTAGTTGTTCCTTTTTGAAACCCTTTTGTTTTCATTGTCTTTAGACCCTCCTATTTGTCAACCTATTCATGCATGCATGTCTCCTTCCTATTTCTTTGTGTACATTTACGTACACCGTACACGTACGTCTGTGTATATACAATACACACACACACGCATATATATATATATATATATATATATATA